ATTTCATGGATATTATTAGCGAGGATGAGGCTAAAGTTAGAAACAATAAGTCAACTTGAAGAAAAAATATTAAGGGAAAGAGCCAAGGACCTGGTGGAAAATCAAGTGCAGGGAAGGACTGGATAGAGCAAAAACCCAGAAGGTGGTGGGGCAATGACTGACATCTGGTAAATGCCCATCTAGGGAAATTCCCCACATACATAGTTAGGAGCATCAGGACTGGCTCTGCCCTTCCCTGGCCCGTGGTTGTAGGGGGGAATTGAGCTGACATCCCCTGCAGAATCACAGGCCACCACTGATTCCCTGTGACTCGACGAATTTGAACCACAACCCCCTGTTGTCTAAAGTCCTGTTTCCTTTGTGCAGAGAATTGCACATGCGTGGTACCTAAATCCCCCCTGTCATATCAACCTGAAATGCTATAAGGCAGGACATTGCCTACCACTCAGCAGACACACCTTTCAGAGACGAGTCCTCCAGGCAAGTGGGCTCTGTGCTGGATTCTCAGGTGCAAGAGGAGGGTTCTAACTCCCTAGGAAGGATCACAGCTGAGATGAAAAGATGGTGATAGCAGTGCCTGGCTCCTGAGGCTTTAGGACATGCCAGGCATGGAGCATGAAGTGTGTCTGTATGTATCAGTATGTAGATATAGAAAGAAACGTAATAGGTGCAGGGTTCGGTGCTATCCGCTGTTTCAGGTATCCCCTGTGGTGTGGGACATATCCCACTATTGTATACTGTCCTGCACCTCTGCTACTTTAACATCTCCCGCCACCATTTAAAGATAGCCTTCAACAATTGCTTGCCTCAATGGAAACAGGAAGTAGGTGCTGCAGGCGGTTTCTTGTGTTGATCTGGAAGCAATGACAGTTTCCCAACGCTGCTGCCAGTGAGACACGCCTATGCCTTGTAGTAGTCTCAGTATATATTTAAGGATATTCATCATTAGGAATTGAGTTCAAGCTTCCAGGTGGAAAATAAAAAAACACCTAGAATGACCACCAAGAGTGCCTCCCTATTATTTACACACACACACACACACACACACACACACACACACACACACACAAAAGGCCTGTATGGTAAGACTAACTTTCCAACCCCACATGATATAAAAGTACACATGGCCCAGCAAAGTCAGCATTACCCTCAGGTCAACCATACCTGGTAAGAGAAGACATGTTCAACTTAATGCTGGCTAATTCAGTATGTACCATGGAGGGAAAAAGAAGGAAAATGTGAACTTAATGAGGTAAAATCATGACTTGTATTGGAAAGTGATTAGCTGGGATCTGGGCAGTGACTACAGTGGGGCCATGTTACAACTTGATCTGGCTGATGTGTTTCAGAAGGACTCATAATTCATGTTTCAACTGGAGAAATAGCTTCGGCGCATGATGCAACACACGGCATTTTTGTTCAGGTGGTTGGACAAGAAGCAGAAAAAGAGGTTGTTTGAGACTCTGATTGAGAAAAGGATCTCAGCTATTTCCATGTAGTCCAGCTGTGCCCAGGGATGTAGTCACAATGCATGTGGGCATTTTGTAGCAGTAAAGTGTTGTAGAATCTATTTCCCTGGAAGATTCATAATTTTGATGGTCCTTGTTTATGGAAGCAAGAAGCATGGTTAGTACTTTAAAAACACACATGTTCAAGCCTGCCCAGTGTGGCTCAGTGGTTGAGCATTGATCTATGAACCAGGAGGTTACAGTTCAATTCCCAGTCAGGGCACATGCCTGGGTTTCAGGCTTGATTTCCAGTGGGGTGTGTGCAGGAAGCAGCCTATCAATGATTCTCATCACTGATGTTTCTATCTCTCCCTCCCTCTCCCTTCCTCTCTAAAATCAATAAAAATATATATTTTTAAAAACCAAATTCAAGCCCTCCTGTGTTTATATGAAACAGGATGTAATTCTCTGTGAACTGTATCCTTAGAGAAGAGACACATGGACCAACGTGTATTTCTCAAAAGTATTAGTAATAATGAATGTACGTCTTCATTCAATGGCAATGCAGCCTTTATAATATATGAAGAGTTTGAAGTACCACTCGTCTCATTCAAAAGGTTTAGAAACTTCTATTGAAGCCCTTAGATAGTAAAATGGCCTCACACACTACACACACACACACACACACACACACACACGTGGGAACTCATTTACAGAGAACATTAAAATGAAATTTTAAAGCAATCACTTTCTGGAAAAAAAAAAGTTGCGTTCTTTATGAAGGACTTGTCCCTATACTCACAGTATTAAAGCAGAGGGACTGATGGAATCAAAACCAATTTGTGGGACAATGAAGTAAAAGTCTGGCTGTGAGTCCCACTGGTTTTCACTTTAGCCTTGTGGGGGGATGGGAGGAGCATTGGAAAGGAAGTCAGAACTGTGGGTTCCCATCCATCTGTGCTGGGGGACATAAAACTGGGTGGACCTTAATCTCTCCAACCCTCCTTGTCCTTTTCAACAAAATGGCAGTTTTGTATTAGATTAGAGTTTCCCAACCTCCGTTCCTCAGAGCTTGGAGCAGGGAGGGTGTAATTAAGAGGATGGTGGTTCCAAGGAAGGGACTTCAGGCCTTGCTTTAAATATCAAGACTCTGAAACAGGTTTCGTTTATAGTTCAATCACCAGAAAGGTGTTAGGTTGGAATCTCCTTTTAAAAAAAATGCCTCATGATCCTCCCCTTAATACTTACAGTTTTTGTACCCCTTTTAATTTTTATCGACATCTCTGTCATGGGGCAGCTCATCTGCACATGTTTGTTGAAGGCAAATGATAGTGATGACTATAGTACTTTGCACACAGATTGTCAATAGCAATCTGATTGCACAGGGAGCGCTTAGAGAGGGGCTCAGGCCTCCGTGAACCAGCCGGAGTACATTTTGCACCACTTAACTGATCACCTTTTGAGCCATTTAACTAATCATCTTTTGAAAATTCACAATAGCCAAGGTTTATTAGGAGCTCACAAGGTTCTGGGCTTAGTACTTTGCATTTCTCATGGAATCCTCAAAATCCTTGACCTTGGTCTCATTACCCATAGTTCACAGATGAGGAAACAAAGGCTCAGGGAGGTTGAACAACACGTCCAAGGCCACAAATTAGCAAATGACTGGCAGTCCCCCAGGCCTTTCCCACACTTAAGCTCTGGAGAACAGCAAGAGGGTCCCCAGGGATCCATGCCAGGACTTGTAGGCTGAGGTCAGCCTCTAAGCTGATTATTGCTTAGTTATTAGAGGAATAAAATGTTTTATTGAATAAGCTTTCTCCCAAAGCTTCCTCTGTTCTCATCACTCTGGTGAGTTGCTTCTAAGTCCGTTCCAAGAGAAGTGATAATGTGAGTTAGATTCTTCAGCAGAGAGGATGGGAAGTACTGCTTCTTGCTGGGACCACAGTTGTGCCCACATGCAGTCAAGGTCTCCATCAAGGTCAGTGGGCTGGATGACCCAGCGTTCCGGGTCTAGGAAGCCAGTATTCAAACTTGAAATCATCCCAAAGGGCAGCTCTACTTTTCTGTTCATCAGATCTTTGGGTGCCTGGTAGTTGTATCCTATTGTGTGGTGTGTATATATATATGTGTGTTCACCCTATCATACTACCTTTCATCTGTGTATTGTTGAGCAGAGCCCTGCTGCTTCATGCACTGGAGCTAATCCCCCACCGCTTTGCTATTGTGTGTATATCACAGAGAAGGTTTGCCCCCACACACACCCACCCCCACCCCGGGCTCTGCTCCACTGACCTACCCTTGTTCTCTACCATTGTTTCCATGTCAGACACCAATTTTCCATTCACGGTGTCTGAATTGGAATGGACTAAGTCACTAGAAGTGACAGTCACTTGAAAAAATAAAAGTGGCAGCCCAGCTGGTGTGGCTCAGTGGTTGAGCATCGACCTATGAACCAGGAGGTAACAAATAGTTAGATCCCCAGTCAGGGCATATGTCCGGGTTGCAGGCTCAATCCGCAGTAGGAGGCATGTAGGAGGCAGCCAATCAATGATTCTCTCTCATCATTGATGTTTCTCTCTCTCTCTCTCCTCCCCCGCTTTCTTCTCTCTGAAATCAATAAAAACATACATTAAAAAACAAAAATGGCAAAACAAAGGTATGCGTATTTAAAGGAAGCCTTTGAGAGAAGCAAGTTGCAAGAAGAGCTTCTTCTTGTACCCTGGGATGAGACAACTGATTTTCCCCCAGCCAACACCTCGCCTAGATACACTGACTTAACCAGAGGTCCTGCCACTCAATGGTTGTCTCAGTAAGCGGTGCCTGGGGCTTTCCCAGACTGAAGTCACCATGGCCGGCCAAACAGGGACTCTCTAGCTAGACCCCAGGGGAATTTGTGGGCTCCCTGCTCCTGCAGAGAAGGAAGTTTCTGTCATCCCCCTTCATTCTCTATATGCACTTATGGGTCCCTCTGCCCGTGGCTGCTATGCCCAGCTCGCCAAGTGCTGTCGAGCTGTGGGCAGGAAGGGAAAGGGTGGACCGCAACTTGGAGACTTGTTCATTTCCCTGAAGAGGAGACTTGGGGACAGAACCATTGCTCTACTTGGCTAAGTGTGTGGTCTTCCCATCTAAGGCTGTGCCTTCAATGGGGCACGGAGGAGCACTTGTTGGGTGAGTGTGAATGCTCTCCATCCAGCGCCGAAGGGTAGTCATGTTGCCAAAAGCTTTCTCCTTCCCCGAACAGCCCATTCTAAATCAATCTTCCATGAATTCATCAAAATGGCTTTCGTGGCGCCTCAGTGTTACTGCCTTCGTGTCAATGCCCCCAACCCAGGGAGGCCGCTGGCAGGGTGCTTCCCAGGCTGTCATCCTAACTCTCCGCCCTGGAGTTTCTTCCATCCACTCCAGGGAAAGGGTCCTTTTCCCTCGGCTCCTTGGCCACGGTGGCCACATGTCAGCGCTCTCCTGGCTCCTGAGAGATGAGTTGGGACACGCCTCAAAGTGCTTGTGTTGCCTCTGAAAGAGGTGGAACAGGGAAGAGCGAGGGGAAAATATATGTGGGAACGGTTTAATTGTCTCCATGAGGATTCTTAGTAATCAGGATGCCAGTGTGTGTTTTCCAGAGCCTAGAGCTGACATAAATAATGTAGCGTGGCTCGCTCTGTGCAGGCTTGCTGAGGAATGCTGATGGAGAGAGCCAAACGGGGATCTGAGGCTCCCGGCTCCCGGCGCAGCCTTTAAAATCCTTTTATTGAGTAGTAGTGTTGAAACCACACCCGGGCCTCGGCGGGCGGGCGGTGGATGCCAGGAGAAGCCGACAGAGGAGAAACTTTAGGGGGAGCTGCCTCGCTGGGTGTTTTGGAGGATGCGAATCTGGATGGCTCCAGGGAACGACTGGTTAATTTCATGTTGCGTCCCTAATCCCAGAAGGAGCAGGACGGTTCTGACAAGGCCCTGAAAGCCCGGTAAGTGTGCCCCTGTCGCCACCAAGATAGGACTGGCCCCTCCAACATAGTTAAAAGCATCGTGCTAGCCTTTTAGAGCCTCTTGCCTTAATGGGAAGAGCCAAACGAGCTTTGCGGGACAGCTAGCCCCGAATGAAGTCCTGCCGCTTAAGCTCCTTTAAAGGCTAAGTGTGCACCAGGGAGGGCAGGAGGGACCGCATATGCCACAGTTCATGTGCAGGGAGGAAACGAGAGTATCTTTACATGGGATTTTCGCAGGTCTGCCAAGCCAGATATCCAAGTGAAGAGTCTTGCAGATTTTGATTTAAAGTAGAACTTAAGCCCTGTCTTGGCCACAAACCATAACAGTGAGGGCAAAGGAGGGGAGGGGAGAGGGATGGAGTCGAGGGGTGTTAGAAATAATTGTGGTGGTTCATGTTTGAGGGACAGGTTCTGGGCATTCTGTTAAAAAGACAGCTTTTTCTTGCTTTGACTCTGGTGGTTTAGAGAAGGACCTCAGGGAATATTTTTGTTGTGTTCTTTTTTTTTTTCTTTTTCCTTTTTGATTAAGGCACTTGGGGTCTAGAAAAGAAGATTAAAGCAGGATCCGTTTAATGTATTTAGTTTGCCTCCCAGACATGAAGCTTCAGAATGGTGAGTGTCAATTATATTCCTCGTGTTTGGGGTAGCTGGCTGGGCAAAGGGTTCTTGAGCAGGAGTTCTGAGCAGGGATCTGTTAGCAAATCCGGGCTGTTTTACAGCTTTTGGCCAGTGATAGGAGCTGGTGGGTCGGCGCAGAAAAAGCATAGATGACAGGTTTGGTTGGACTGGAAGGGTCTGTGCGACTTGCCCTTTAAGGGAGGCTGCTTCTGCTGTTGCTGGTTGGACAATTGATCATGGGACCTGGTTTGGAAACCAGGGGTCATGCCCTGCAATTCACAAGAAGCGTGTAAATTTACTTCATTTTTTACTTTCATCCTGGGACATGTGTATGTTCCTCTTTTAAGTTGCTACATAGTTGTTTGGGTTTGTTTGTTTGTTTGTTTGTTTGTTTTCTCCTTCATTTAAAAAGTCTCATGTTTTATAAAATAGTATTTGGAAATTTTGTCTGTGGTATGAGCCCCTGGATATATCACGAAGAATTCTAGAAGTTGCTTTGAACCACCTGATTGGTGGTTTTTGTTTGTTTGTTTGTTTGTTTTGTCTGGGCCTCATTTTCTCCTCTCCCGCCTGCTTTGTTTACCTGCTGCTTTAAATGGTTCCATCAGAACTTTCATTCATTAGTCATAAGTGTCTACAAACTCCTCTCTGCTTATGCACATGCTTTCCCAGTTCAGAGCTGTTTTGTGTTCCCTGTCAGTCTCTGTCCTTGTGAGTAAGGACACAGGGGGGGTTTCATCAAGATTGCTGTGGTCTGAAGGATCGGTCTCAGCCGTTTTCTGGCAAGCCTCCCATTCTTTGGGCAACAGCATGCCCGTCTGTGGAATGGGCTGGAGATCTGGTTGACAATGTAACACTGCAGCCTTTGGAAGCTTTCGGGTCATGGCTATGAAAGTTGGAAAGAACAAAAAAATTGTAATAGACAATGACCTAATGGTTGTCTGCAGGCTTTTTCTCTGTAGACCTGCGTTCAGAAATGTTTGAAACATACCAAAACCCTGCTGCCTGTTGGTTATCATTTATAAGAGCACCAGAAGAAAGTGCATTTTAACTGCAGAGAGAAACGCAACAGTTCTAATAAACAAAACTCCATTTTTATAACCGAAGTGACCTGAAGGAATGTGAGGAATTGATAGAAGGCTGTGGTGCTCGGGTGCAAAGTCACGGCTTCATGTTTAATTTAACAAAACATTAAACATTTCATGTTTAATTTAATGAAACATTAGAGCCCTAGGATTTGTCACCTTCATGACAGAGCGTCAGAACTGTGGGATAGTCTCGGGATATATGTTCTTTCTGCAGAACTCATGGGTGACACCGGATGTGATTCACATCCAACGACTGTTCTGATGGGGGAAAAAGCAAGTAAAACAGCACCAACAACACATTAGGCACGCACTCCTAGTGTAAAATTTTAGGGGGTGCTATTAGCAGGCATTTAGGCAAATCTACTCACATTTGGCATCAGTGCAAAGGCAATCGCAGGTCTACCTTTTGTGCTTCTGAGAAGATGAGCACAGGGATCTACAGGACAAGAAAAGCTGGAAGGTTGGGGCCATTTGTCAGGTGGTAAACTTTTAGTAAACCCATGTGGATTTTTAATGAGCTGTTTAAGAAGGTGGGGTGAGATGTTCGGGGGAATGGAGTAGATGTATCAGTGAGATAAAGATGGTCACCTGGGGAGAGAGGAGGCCCTGTGCCCTGCGTGGCTGGCCAGGTTTGTTTTTCCCTTCGTCTGGAAAATGTGACTGGATGTTGAGAGTGCTGTTTTGCCGTTGGCTTGTGATGGAAAATTTCCTTTTTTCGTATTTCGAAGTGCTGAACCGTGGGTCTGCCCTACCTCCCTGTCTGTATTGCAGATCGGCGGGGCTCTATTTTCGTCTGATGCTTAAAATGTTTAGCTTCTTTCAATGGAAAACACTTTATGTTTGAGCAATAAAGGCAATTGCCAATTCATAAAACATGCATGTATATGTGTACCTGTATGTATTTATACACACAATATACAGGCATACAACCACACACTCAAATATACAGGCATACAACCACACACACACACACACACACACACACACTCC